GGCGGCGTCTCTCTCTCTCTCTCTCTCTCTCTCTCTCTCTCTCTCTCTCTTATTCCTCCGTTTTCTGTAAATAGAAGTAGGGCTTTGTTCATTTCTACTAGTGAAGTTGGTGAATTTGACCTGAAATTATGCACCAAGAACTTTTAGTTGATGGCATGATGCTATGCCAACATCTTTCACTCAGATGTCTTCATGAAGAGGTCCTTCTCATGTTCTTGGTCAAGGTTTATTGAAATACATTTGGTTATTTTTTCAGTATTGATTACAAAGTTATATTTCATTTGGGTGGATAAATGGCCTAACTTATTAAACATCTGAGGGAACTTTTTTGTTGTAAGTACAGCTTTGTAACTGGTTCTTGTTTTCCTGTTGGCATATTCATTCATAAACTGTATATATAGTGATACAATAGTTGTATTTGTCTGACAGAATCATTCATGAGGTTTCATGGGATCAAAAAATCTATGATGATTGTTCTGAATATATCCACAGCACAGATGGATTTTCCAACATGCTACCCAACCCTAATAAATGCATGCTGTTTCCCACCACCGAGGAGACACACCCAATACATCAATCGAGTGGTCTTTCAAAGCACGATATGACACTGATTTGGGGACCAGGCAGGTCCCCTATGTGCCTTTAAAGATGATAGGGTTGTACATGAAAAGTCAAGCAAGTGTGATATAGCATGAACAATTGCACAGGCTAAAAGTATCTTGACCCAGGACAAATAGATTCTGTAGTTATGGACTTACATGTCAAAATTTGCATTAACAAAAGGATACGTGTAACAGGGATTTCCCAGCTTAGTTGCCCATTCAACCTAAGTATGATGAGTGTTCACATTTGTTTCTTTTTTATTGGTCATTCATGTTACCTAAAATCATGAATTAGGTAAGTTTTGAGTGCTTGCTGACAATTTTAATCGTTTGTTGCATCTTGCTTGCTCCATCAACAGTTGAAATGCAAAGCAGATGAACAGTTAATTGGAACATTAGTTAATATGTGACTGGCCTAATTTATGTTTTAGCACAGAAATGTTTTATTTTATCATGAAGATAAATAATGGAGAGAAATATACCTTGGTCTCACGATACATACCCATTGTTGATTGCAATTAGGTTAACTTCCCTTTTAATGTACCAATCCATATACTTTATTTTTTTTCTTGTATTCATGGTTTTTTAGCTTCTGGCATGACTTCAACCGAAGGAAAAAGAAACACAGAGATCATGATTTTGGTGACAATTTTTATGGGATTGTTAATGTGGAGGTTGACGTATCATTATTTGGGTTGCAGGTTTGGCCACTTTTAATAAGTTTAACTTATTTCGAAACAAATATGTTGCAGAACTTGTCTCTGATGTGTTTGTTTTAAATAGTCAAGAAAGTGTTTTTTTTATTAGCATGCTCTGATAATAGCAAAATTGTAGAGTGACAAGATTCTATAGGTTAAAGCTTGATGAAGTTTGGATATGAATGACAGAAGCCATCCATAGTATACTGACTAAATGTTCCCTAACTACACTTATGATAGATGCTCTTTAAGAATATGTGACAATGTGAAGAGGATTGCAAGCAAAAATCACCATTAATTTATTTAAAGAGCTCAATGAAAGCAAGGATCATCTAGTCCATATGCAGACTGCTGCACGACAAGATTCTCTGGTGTTGTTTTAATCTTTTGTGGTATCTGTATCACTATTGACAAGTCCTTTGATATTAAACTGACATGGATGGTAGATTCATTGTACATGTTTGCTTCTTATGTTATGAAATGGTTAATCTGGCTAGTATATATATGGTAAATACCATAATTAATCACTTTCTTTTTGTGCAGTAAGTTTGGTATTTGAATTATTAGGGAAAATCTAGTGAAATATGTGCCCTGTGTTTTGACTATTACTGCATATAGTGAAATTTATCATCTAATGATACAAATAATCAATGGTAAAATAAATTGAAATGGTAATTGAAAAAGAAAAAAAAATTGTCTAAAACATTTTATTTTTAAATATTCTTGTATTTATCTATTAAGAGAATGAGATCAAATCATGCAACCCAAGTTGGAGTTTTTTTGCTTCTTGATTGACCCTTGATTATTTGCTTAGAAATCAAGTGTCTGCTCTCTCTTCCTCTTTCACTGTGTTTGTGATTTAGTGAGTGCGCGTGCATGTACGTGTGAGCGAATAGGTCTGTGGCATGTCTATGCTCTGGTGATTTTGATATATAAATATGCCATTAAATATTTGGATCATTTTTCTTCAGGTACGATTATTCTGGATATGGGCAGTCTTCTGGAAAGGTAGGATGATCACTGATGATCTTTTTTGGCTTTTGTTAGAAATGTGAAACAATAAAATTTTCCACTTTTTCTCTCCTTGCTTGCAGCCAAGTGAGCAAAATACTTATGCAGATATAGAAGCTGCTTATAGGTGTCTTGAAGCATCTTATGGAATCCATGCAGAAGATGTTATCCTTTATGGCCAATCAGTTGGTAGTGGGCCTACACTGGAATTAGCGACTCATTTACCTAACTTGAGAGCAATTGTTCTCCATAGTCCCATTTTGTCTGGTCTGCGTGTCATGTATCCCGTGAAGCATACATACTGGTTTGACATTTATAAGGTTCCCATTTCTTTTCTTGTCAATAGTTCAAATCTATTTTTCTCCTCACAAGAGGACTTAAACAGGACTTGTCGATTCTCTGCAGAATATTGATAAAATTCCCTTGGTCCAATGTCCAGTGTTGGTAATACACGTAAGTACACTGCTAGAGTGCTTTTCTTGATTTTTCATAGCATGTTCTAGATACTGCTGTGTAGTATTGTGTTGATCTTTCCTCTGAAGCTAAAATGATAAAATCTAACAGCAATTTATAATGCTTTTGTAGGCCAAATTTCATGGTACATAAAAAAGCAACGAAGACCAGCACAAAATGCAAGAAAATGTTTTTTTTTTCATAATATTAGAAAAGGATATGAAATCACTTACTTTTGATTAAGCTGGCATTGATATTCTTTTACTTGGCCACCGAATGTCTAAATGTATTGGACCATTTTGATTAATGATACTAAATTCTAGGTTGTCCAAGAAGAATATTTTCTTTCATTTGCAGTTTGATATCTGTTAGGCATAACAAGTAGTTCACATACAATCAGGTGCATAAAAAAAATTGACATTGAAGTCAATCATGGAAAAACACATGTATTACAGTCATAGGACCGAGGAACAAGGTATCACATGAGCCTGTTATACAATACCTGACTCTTGGAATTGTAGATTTTTGGTAAATAAGCTATAGAAATTCTCTAAAATTCTGCCATAACATTCTCAGTATCATAAGTTGATTCTTTGATTATTGAAATGCCTTTATCTACAGTCACTGAGTTTATACAAGCTCCTAATAGTCAATGATTATGTGGTTAAAATCCCCTAAAGCTGCTTTTAATCAGGCATCTTCTTTATATGGCTTGGCCACAAAACTTTTATTCTCTGTTTTGTGAAGCCCATACTGAGAAATGCCAGTATGTTACACACCCCACCTGCAAATGTTTCTTGTGGTTTTCCTCCTAGCTTATTTGGATATTAAAGGCCTATATGGTGTTTGCAGGGAATGGCTGATGATGTTGTGGATTCATCACATGGGAAACAGCTTTGGGAACGTTGCAAAGAAAAGTATGAGCCTTTATGGATCAAGGGAGGGAATCACTGTAATTTGGAACTGTTCCCAGAGTTCATAAGACATCTTAAGAAGTTCATATCAGTCATAGAAAAGGCACCTCCAGCTAGAACTGCGTCTTCCGAGAACTCTGTTCTCCGGAATCCTCCTAGTACGAGCACCGATTATTTGGATCATCAGAGAAAAAGCACGGATCGGAGGGAAAAGCCAAGGCCAAGTACTGATCGTAAGGATAAGGGTAGGAACAGTACAGATAGGAGAGAGAAGCCAAGGATTAGCACAGATAAGAAAGAAAAATCAAGAAAAAGCTTTGATGTCACTGACAAAGCGAGAAGCTGTGTGGACCAGCAAGAGAAGCCACGGAAAAGTTTTGACCGGTCTGATAACACTCTCTTTTAAAGATTGTTATATGTATCATGCATAAGTTTATGGCAATTACCCATTTATATTTGATAGTTTTGGTTACACGATACTTCTTTTGATCATTTATTAAAATGGATGCAGATTTGGAGGAATGATAAAGTCAGTCAACTTGTGCAATATTGACTGTTTCAGAGTCCCAGCTTCTCAGGCCGAGGAGTGCAAAGGTCGGTGTTAGTACCACCCTTTGGCTGCATGAGTATTGATATAATGATTGTTTTAATTGTATGGGGATATTAAAGTGGTGGAAATTTATCCGTGTTTATTCAAGAATCGATAATTTTGAGTTGTTTTTGCCACTTATCTCCCATAAATGCAAATTTTCTCTTATATATTGTCCAGTGGAGTGCAAACATAAGCAATGCTTTCCATAGGATCTGTACTTAATAAAATTAGCAGTCTCTTGCATCCTGTTGTGTTGTGTGTTTTTCAAGCTATCCTTTTTAAGTCAAATTGCTCTTACCAAACTATGAATGTAGGAGATGATCCATTTCTATCCGATCAACATCAATTGATGTGAGAATGCTTTTCCAGAAATGAAACTAGAGACCAAAGGCAAATCATATGGTCCAATCGGTGGCTAAGTTCTGCATGGCTGTTTGCCTCCTTGTACAAGTACTCTCTGCTTTGCTGCTTTGCTGCTTGGTCCATACCTATTCAGAAGTCTCTCACACAACCTTTGTCATTTGCTGCTTTGCTGAATAGGTTATTCAAAATATCTTCTCCACAATATGATTTGCTAACTTATCTGACTTCATACATCAAATGATAATAACAAAAACTTGTAATATGACATTTCAGTAATGCATATAGAACCCAGAAAAGAAAGAAAAAAAAATTCCTTTGCATGATTACCTGTTATTAGTCTATCAACTGAGCAGTCTTCATCTGTATTATATGGTGAGGTTTTTTGGTTTTTCCTCAAACTTGAGTCGTACCTGTTCTTTCAATATTCCCAATTTCAGTGATGAACTTGGGGGATTTGCAGTGTTGATTGCTCTTTTTCTCCGTGACAGGCAGAACATGATCATTTAATTGATCTGTTCCTTCTATCTGAAGCTCCATAAGAAGAAAAGGCCCAAAAGAAATCCCATGTACATTTCCTAAGCTCTTTCTATCCTCAATAGCTAAACTACTGCCCCACATAAATCTTCTGCATGTGGTTCATGAGAACCTTATGAGCATTGTTGTGGTAACATCTGAACACAGATTTGATCCTCTCTTAATCATACAATGGAATAACATTTGTCAAAGTCTTTACATCAAACAGTGCTTTAATTCTCCATATTTCCAGGTTTTACCCCAAAACTTAGGCTTTATGCTTGTTTCATGTTCTTTTCTTTGGATAGTTACCTCAGAAGTTTGATTAAACTACCTTTTTCGATTCAATTTTTGATATATGATATAAGGATTTTTACACAGATTAGAGTTAGTAGTGACCAAACTTGTGGAACAAAATTTCTTTAAGGAAATAGAAAACAAAAAAAAATTATTTTAGATAGCTCAGAAGTTACAAATGGCCACCTTTTGGACTTCCTAATGATAGGAAACAAAATAAGAGTTGTAAAAATTTAGAAAAAATTTGAGTTTATCTCTGGAAAATCAAAATGAGTTCATTCCGTTTAAATACTTCAAAGAATTATTGTCTATATCTTTTAAGAAGAAAATGTAAAATAAATCCTGTAATAAGTTTGTAATTCTTCTCAGTCATTCATCATCTATGTGATAAAAAATACTCAAATTTTATCCTTTGAGAATTTGAAATGAGCCTCACGCCTGCTTCCTCTCTCTCTCTCTCTCTCTCTCTCTCTCTCTCTCTCTCTCTCTCTCTCTCTCTACAAAATACAATAATAAGAACATAGGTAATTGTTTAGAGTAATATTTTAAATATCAATTGACTACATATAAAATTTATATTTCTTTGTTTGTTATTTGTTCAGGAATTTCGATAAATTTGGTATAAAGCGGTATTAAAAATATTATTTCTAATTCGTCTGTCATCTCCCTAAAGGTATTTATCTAAGAAATTATTTTTGATAGACAAAATTACATTATATATATATATATATATATATATATATCCATGCAAAATTAACAAGTATGTTATGGTAGTCAATCTCCATTGGTTGGCTAACAACACAACTATTTCAAAATTATTAAAAAATAAATAATTGATAAAAAAAATAATAAAACTATTTAGGAACTTAAAATATTAATATTTTAAATTTAATAATAAATATGATTACTAGTAGTTTATCATAAATGACATATATAAAACTTAATTATATGAAAACAATATATCCACAATCTAAAATTTTGAAGAATATATATAATATTAAAATTACAGGGGCAAATATGTTATTTCCAAACTCTCCTTGTTTTTACATTACCCTAACCCCATTGTTCTAGAAGCGTCTATAAGTTTCCCATTTCTTTACCCAAAGCCTTCATTTCTTCTCTCGCCTTCCTATCCGAAAGCCTCTCGACTCTTCCTTGCCCGAGCATCAACGCAGAAGAGAAGAGGGAAGGGGAATCCGACGAATCCATGGCGCCCGTTCTAACCCAGAGTTTGGGCACTACGTTTACGGTCTCCCTCCATCGTCTTTCGATCCCTTTGAGGTCGAATTCCGCCCGAGCTCTGAGGTTCCGGACCTCGTTTCTTCCGCAACCTCTCGGCTCCGGGATTTCATTTCCGGTGTCGGGTCTGAGTTGCAAGGCGGAGAGGAGGGAGCGCTGGATGCGCGTCCGGTGCGAGGCGGCCGTCGCTGAGAAAGAATCCGAGGAGGCTTCGGGGGAGAAGTTTGAGTACCAGGCCGAAGTGTGTCTTTGTTTCTTCCATATTCTCCCTTCTGCCCTTTATCCATCATTTTGTTTTGCAGATTGCCCATTTAGGTCTCCTTCATGCTTTTGCTTGGCTTGTTTTATTCTGATTTATTTTCCGTCTTTGTTTAATCATGAAAGTTGCGATTTTTTAACCTGTGGAGCGGAGAAGCTTGAATCTTTTCTGGTATGTTTGACACAAAATAAGATTTTTGTGTTAGAGGAATGTAATTCATTAGTCCATTAGTCCAAGTAGGTAAGATTAAGATTGACAAAAGTCTAACAGATGCATTATTATCCATATTTTGGTCAGTGGTTTGGGTTCAACGAAATTAACAGATTAGTTAGTTGGGTAGTGACATTTGATATCAGAGCTTGAGGGGACTCGAGTAAAAAAAAAGATACTTGTGACGTCTAGGATTCATCACGACGTGGAGTCACTATTGATTTACGCTTCATATGCACCATGTAATGGTTTGATCTAGGTTATATTAGGCCTTGATGAAGATATTAACCTATTAAGTGGGAGAGTCTGGAACATCCAAATTAGTTTCACATTGGAAATGGGCAAAACTAATATCGACTTATAAGAATCTGATGGGTGTATTACTATCAACTTTAGCTTGAGTATATTGACTAGTAGTTTGGGTTTAACGAAGTTGACAGGCTAGTTATCCCGTCCGGCTGGATCGTGACAATGATAGTAGTTTGCTTTGTTGATCATATCTAGTGAGATTAGATTTTCATTTTGGCTTTTTTCCTTTTTTTTATAATCGATTTTATTGTTTGTAATTAGAAAAGTAATTCTTTTCTGTTCTTGACATGTTCATACACGATGAAATTATCTACATGTTCTTTATTGATTTCTTTGTTTTAGGGCTTTCCTATGGAAATCTTGTTCGTACTCCTGTTTGATTAAGTGGGCAGACAATTCTGCCCGTTTGCAGACCTTGCTTTTATATCAAGTACTTAGCTTCTTTCTGTTGAGTCTTTGGTGCAGACAGCGCTGCTTCTAACTTGCTCTGCACTTAAAGTTAAGCAAAGAGATGTGTATCTTCTCAATAGTGATTAACAATCTCCATCCAAATTTATTGAATTGTTAGTGTTCGGTTGATTTGGTGAAAGATATTTGATTTACAGGCATTAGTTATGTTAAATTTGGCTTTAGAATCTTATGTTTGACATAAGCTTCAAGAATGCTATTATGAGCATCCCATCTACAGAACATTGCCTTATAAAACCTTTCATTTTGCCATTACTTTTATCTTGTGCAAAGTTCTGTTGTTCTTCAATGTTAATCTCCCAGCCTAAAAGCGTATTATAAGATTGTCTTGGTTGCAAAAGTTAGTTGTTGTCGATAGATTTAATACTTCCTAGTTTCGTGTAGTCTTTTATGTTTAACTTATTTCTATACCTTGGTTAAATGCAGGTCAGCCGCCTATTGGACTTGATTGTTCATAGTTTGTACAGCCACAAGGAGGTGTTTCTTAGGGAGCTTGTAAGGTTGGCTTATGCATTTTCTGTCGTTTCATTGTTGTTTCATGTCCTACAGGGAGATATGATATGTCTGTGCTTTATATTGCTTAACCCTCCATTGTCCATGCCATTTTAGCAAAAAGTGAATGAATTTGTTTACTGTCGTTTGAGGAAGCTTTGGTTTTTATACTTGACTACTGGCCGGTAGACCAAATATCGTCATGCACAGTAGGTTCAGGTTCTTGGGAGGCTACAATTTTCTCTTTCTTTCATATTGTTGAAATGTTGTTGTCTTAAGGTTGTTTTTACTTTTTAGCATGTTTCCACGTTGTGGTTTTATTTGGTGATATTCTGTGTCTGCAGCAACGCAAGCGATGCTTTGGACAAGTTGAGGTTTTTGAGTGTGACAGATTCCTCATTACTTGGTGATGCTGGTGACTTGGAGATACGGGTCAAGCCTGATCCAGATAATGGAACTATTACGATAACGTACTTTGCATTTCTGCACATTTTGCCCCCATATTCAAACTGAACAATTAGTAAAATTAGTTGTTTGAACTGGCAGAGATACTGGTATTGGAATGACCAAAGAAGAGCTAATTGATTGCCTTGGGACTATTGCTCAGAGTGGAACATCAAGGTTTTTGAATGCTCTCAAGGTATCTGCTTTATTTTCTGTTTTCTAAGGTTTTATCATACTGTTACATCAGCTTGGTCATTTGTAAACTTTTGCATATTCGGAGGTTGCATGCTTATCATTCAGAATCTTCTGTTTTATCTGAACCTCTGTTGATGATTGGTTGATGAATGATGTGCAGGAGAACAAAGATGTTGGGACAGACAATGGTTTGATTGGCCAGTTTGGTGTCGGATTTTATTCAGCTTTCCTTGTTGCTGAGCGGGTAACTTTTTATGTTATTTGTTGTGTAAAAAACTTGATTGTTAGAATGATGTTTGACTATCATTCCATGTTCTAAGCAATTATATCTAACTGATGAACAGGTTGTGGTGTCAACAAAAAGTCCGAAGTCTGATAAACAGTATGTGTGGGAAGCATTAGCAGATAGTAGTTCATATGGGATAAGAGAAGAGACTGATCCTGAGAAGTTCATAAAGCGTGGAACTCAGATCACCCTGTTTTTACGAGTATAGATCCCCTTCTCCATTCTTCTCTTTCCCAACTTGTTATTTCAGTGTGTTCAGTGGTCCAAAACTTTTGTTCAATTTGCAGGAGGATGAAAAATTTGAATTTGCAGACCCAACACGCATCCAGGCATTGATCAAGAATTACTCTCAGTTTGTCTCCTTCCCCATATATACATGGCAGGAGAAATCAAGGACGGTGGAGGTGGGGATCTTCTTCTTTGCCAGCTTTTTTTTTCTGGATGATCTTTCATGCTGAAGTCATTGTGACAATGTGTTTGTGCGTTTGATGCCTGTTTAGTTTTAGCCGTGAAGAAAAGAATTGTTAACTTGTTGTCCTTTGCCTTAGATCTGTTTATACTTATCTCTTTGTTGTTTGATTATTTTTGGATAGGTCGAGGAAGAAGAGGACCCAAAGGAAGGAGAAGAAGCAAAAACAGAGGTAGGGAGTCTGATGGCTGATATTGTTGTTTTTGTACTCAACGCCTGACCACATTTTCTGCCTATTGGCAGGATGAGAAGAAAAAGAAGAAGAAAACTGTAACTGAGAAATATTGGGACTGGGAACTGGCAAATGAGACAAAACCTATATGGGTAACATCAAAATTCTTCCTTTTTGAAGTTGCAATCCATGCCTTAGGTGCCCTGGGTTTCTTTATCCTTAGCATCTTTAACTAGCTTTTTTAAAGTTAGTCTCATCCTGTCAATGCTTAGATGCGGAATCAAAAGGAGGTTGAGAAAAATGAATATAATGAGTTCTACAAGAAGACATTCAATGAGTTCCTGGATCCTGTTGCTTACACCCACTTCACCACTGAGGTACTTACTACCATGAGGACTTTCAAAAGAGAAGAAATATCATCATCTCATTGTCAGATTTGGCATAATATCTAAACTGAACAGGGTGAGGTGGAATTTAGAAGCGTTCTCTACATTCCTGGAATGGCACCTCTAAACAATGAGGATATAATAAATCCCAAGACCAAAAATATACGCTTGTATGTCAAACGTGTATTTATTTCTGATGATTTTGATGGTGAGCTGGTAAGTATAAATTAACTTCTTGCTTATTTTCAGATGTTTGTGGTCATATTGTACTATGAACAAGTTACATTTTTTTATACCTGTCTCAATATGCTGATCATAAAACCAAAATTACAGTTTCCTCGGTACTTGAGTTTTGTGAAGGGTGTGGTTGATTCAGATGACCTTCCTCTAAATGTTTCTCGGGAGATTCTCCAAGAAAGTCGAATTGTAAGTTTCATTATTTTTATGCACAATGCCTATGGTAGCTTGTAGAAAGTAAAATATGTATTCCAGGCTGCTTTTACAAACTACTCTCCTTGTTCACTACAGGTAAGAATTATGCGAAAGAGGCTAGTTAGGAAGACATTTGACATGATTCAAGAGTTATCTGAGAATGAAAACAAAGAGGTAGGCTGTTTGAATGGACAATACGGTCTTTTGTAATTTCATTTTGGGTATCATTTAATTAATCATGTCATTCTGTTGCAGGACTATAAGAAATTCTGGGAGAATTTTGGCAAGCTTCTAAAATTGGGTTGTATTGAGGATTCAGGAAATCACAAGCGACTGGCACCTTTGCTGCGCTTTTACTCTTCCAAGAGTGAGGAAGATTTGATAAGCTTGGATCAATATGTGGAAAATATGGGTGAGAACCAGAAGGCTATATATTACTTGGCAACAGACAGCCTTAAAAGTGCCAAAACTGCCCCCTTTCTGGAGAAGCTTGTTCAAAAGGATATTGAAGTAGGTGTTTAGCTTCAAATATATAATCAGATATTTTAATATATGAAATTGTTGTGATCATATTTTATCTGCAGGTGTTATATCTTGTGGAACCTATTGATGAAGTTGCTATACAGAATCTTCAGTCATACAAAGAAAAGAAGTTTGCTGATATCAGCAAAGAAGACCTAGAATTAGGTCTGTTTTCTTCATTTAGTATATTTTCTTGGGGAAGTACTTATGCTTTCTGTATCACTGGCATTTGGATTATTGGCTTTTGCCGTGTGTTGATGATGGAAATTTCTGATACAGGCGATGAGGATGAGATGAAGGAGAGAGAAGACAAACAAGAGTACAATCTTCTATGTGATTGGATAAAACAGCAGCTTGGTGATAAGGTAGCAAAAGTCCAAATTTCTAAGAGGCTTAGCTCTTCACCATGTGTACTTGTTTCTGGCAAGTTTGGATGGTCAGCAAACATGGAAAGGTAGTCTTGTTTGCCTAGTTGATTTAATGACCATCTTTCCTGTCATTTCTAGCACAGACTCGTGAATGCCTGTCTTTTCTAGACTCATGAAAGCACAGACACTCGGAGATACATCAAGTTTAGAGTTCATGAGAGGGAGAAGAATCTTAGAGATCAATCCTGAGCACCCCATCATTAAAGACTTGAATGTAAGACTTGTGATATGCTGTTAATTGTCATTGTTTGATGTGAAGACAATTTTTAACACACAAGGAATAGCTGCATATCATTTTAAGTTCTGCAGAAACAATTATTATGGCGAAGAGACTTTAGTTTGTAGTTGCAGTATTTCACTTGAACTGTCGTACAATTGCAGGCTGCATGCAAGAATGACTCAAGCAGCACAGAAGCAAAGAGGGCAGTGGATTTATTGTATGATACGGCTCTGATCTCGAGTGGCTATATCGTAAGTCATTTCGACCTCTTCAGTTCACATTTTTCTTTATAAATTTGCTGCCTTCTTTTCGTGTTCATAACAAGATGATATGATTCAGCCTGACAGCCCTGCTGAACTGGGCAACAAAATATATGAGATGATGGGCATTGCTCTTGGTGGAAGATGGGGAAGATCAGAATCAGAGGAAGCAACAGAAGCAGCCGAGGCAACAAGCGCCGAAGCTGTCTCTTCAGATGCGACAGAGGCAGAGGTGGTTGAGCCCTCAGAAGTGAGGACAGAGAATGATCCTTGGAAGGATTAAGCATCTTTCTCGGGGAATTACTTCATGGATTAGGTTCGAGGAGGTGAGAGGGTTGAGGACATAAATCCTGTCAGCAAGTTGAGTTCAACAGGTGACGACATAAAGGGGAAGGCAAAAGTCACTCCTGTTTTGGGCATATGCACTTTTTGTAGGCTTACAGCTACTGACAATATAAATCACAAGTCAACCAATTTGAAGAGATATGGTGATTGCATTCATCCCGAATCTGATACTGTGATTGCTTGTTTGAGTTCCTCTGCATATTGCCCTAAAAATTTCATACTTCTTGCCAGTGTTGAGTTCAAAGGCTTGAGATTACTGTAATCTGATTGGCTATTGTCTCCTGTGTTAAACCTTCTTTTTCAACTAGAATAATTTGGTGGGCATTTGGTAGATGAAACCAAGTAACAAATATGATTACTGAACATGGAATGCTTGGCAATTTGGATGGCTTTTCTTGGTGAAAGTTTCACTCAAAACACCAAATACTCAGAAACATTGGCACAAAGAATTAAACATCAACAAAAGAAAACAGCTCAGAATTGTCATGTTCTGATGCTCTTCTTTTCCGGCACTGATGGATAACATGCTGCACTGCCTACATGTCTGCAAGTTATACTACTTTCAACACAGTTCAAGTGCACAAGTGCATGATAGCTTCTCCCTGAGTTGTATCAGAGACCAATTCGATCCAAAACAATTCTTCTGTTCTTCTGGTTGGAAATCTTCACATCTATCACTGGTCATTAGATAATGAATCATCATATAAATCATCAAAGATTGCATCTTGTTCGAACCGGAAATTAACAACAGGAGTTCTTGCAGATGAATCAAAACGACGGGACTACACCAAAGCTTGAATCAGCCAAAACCGCAACAGAGAACATATGATCCACTTCGAGCTCCGCATCCGATTTCTTCGCGAAGCGGCCTTTGATCCGAGGCCTGGTTTCAGCATATGCCTTTCTCGAGGCATACCTGACGGTCTTCTCAAACTTCCTCGCCTTCCTCTTCTCCCTGTACCTCATGACCCTGGCTTCTCTGTCCATGGGATTGAATCGTGGTGAGAAGAGATGTATGGTTCCTTTGGATGCTCGAATGTGAGATGTGTTGGATGTATCCGGCACAACACTTGCATCCACTGATGACAAGGAAACCTAGAAGATGTAGATTGGAGAAGAGAGAAGAAGAGAATGATCTCAGTGAAATCTACAATATTTTTCGCACTAAAAATAGCAACGAAATCTAATGAACATTTAGGATAATCTAAAACAGATGTGGTTTAGATATTGTCATATAATTGGGATAATAATGAAAGCAATAACGGTTTGGTCCAAGAAGCAACTTACAGAGTAATTGAGCCCATTGGAGGCACCATGCTCCATCTGCAAGCTCTGTTGAAGCTGATGCAGCTCGTTTGGCACCAAACACTCGCTTTCCTCGCTCGTCTCATAGCTGTACTGCAACTGCTGCTGCTGCATGGGGCCATTGCAACACTCCGATCCTTGATTCTCGCCGGCGTTGTACCCAACGAGGTCCAAGAACTCGTCGACCTCGGCGAATGGCGGGAGCGCTGCGGCGCCCTGGCCGTTGCCCTTCACAGGATCGAGCAGTAGCCAGGAGGCAGCCTCCTCCTCTTCGTCGTCCTCGCGCTCCGATTCGTCGAGGCCCACCGGGACGCCGATGTGGTAGGGGAGGGTGAGGCTGGGGCGGACGACGAGGCCGCCGCCGGCCAGGGCGAGTAGGACCGGGACACGTTGGTGGCGGCGGGCGAGCAGGTTGGCGGAGTGGATGCTGGCGTCGCAGGTGGCGCAGAGGGCGGCGGCGTCTGCGCGGCAGTACACCGTGCTCGGCGCCGACCGGCACGACTCGCAGGACGGACTCCCCTCCACCTTCATCTTTGCATTCGACAACTTCGAGCCGGTCTGTGCAGCACCAGAGACCTTCTCTGCTTCTTCTACTTGGTGTCCTTCCTCAGGGCATACTCCAGCCACAAGCTTGTCTCCGCTTCTCGTCGGTGGGCGATGATGGTAGAGGAGAATGGACACGTGGGAGGATGTTAGCGGGTGAGTGGGGCAGCTCCCTTATCTTGTGGCTGGCCGTGCTTCCCGGTGCTGTCACGTGTGAGTAGGACTCGGATGTCAATCCGTTGGCTATTCTTGTTTGTGCTGTGGGGTTGACCACAGACATACTATGAGGGTTAATTACATGTTATATTTGTATTTTGGATTATACTAATATCATAACTTTTTATTTAAAATTTTATATTAATTTTTTTTTATAATTTTAAAAATAAAATAAAATTTTTATTTATCCTAATATCATCAGTTACATTGATGAAAACATAATACGTAACATTACATGTTGTTAATTTTAGTTGTAGAAATATAATTTTAACGTTTCACGAGCTAAAAAAGAAAGAATATTAAAAAAAATTTCTATTATTTTTGCATCGATTCAACACGTGTTATTTATATTTTTTATCAATAAAAAAATTATTTATTTTATTTTTAAAACTATAAGAATCCTAATGTAAATTTTATAAGTACAGAGAGACTATAATGCTAATAGGATCTAAATGTAAATTTAACGAGCCATCTATTGAAGGAGTCAATGGCATTAGTATCATTGGATTCTTGATGGTGGAACTAAAAGCCAACATCCTTCATATTTTTTGAATCCATAATCAAGAGGAAGAATCACCATCAAAGTTTGCTTTGACTTATCCATGAATTGGTAGGACATGATGGAGTCAAATCCTTGTCCAGTTGCCACCATCCAAGTGTTCTAATCCCCATCAAAGGGCCTCCTGCAAACCCTTATCCAAATCAACCCTCAGTTGTCATGGTGGCCTTCCCTTTGTCCATCTTAGCACTGTTAATGGCAACAGTACAGAAGGGAGATGATCAAGATTCACTTTTGATGCTGCTTAATGCAATCATAGCAACTTTGATTCAGTAGTTCTTCCCAAAATGTGGATTTTTCCAACTGATGTTTATGGTGTTTTAAGGTGACTTGAGGTTTGGGGAAATATTTTCTACTACCAACTGCATCAATTGAATTATTCTTTAGAATAATTCAAGCATGCAGACCATCTCTTCAGCATCAGATTGATCATAGTTATTCTTTAGATTCTTGTCAGCAAGCATATCAATCTTCCATAAGAATCTCTTGTGCAGGTGTAGAAAACCTCTTTGTAGCTGCTAGAGCAATTATTCTACTATTATTTACTAGATTAACTATGAAGAAAAAAAATATATATTTATATAAAATAAGAGAAAGAATCATCATCAAAACCATAGAATATTATCTGACTAAGCAAATCTGAAAATTCTTATCTCAAAAGAAGATCAAATACAATGTATTTGATTAGCCATTAATAATGATGTTATCTTCTTCTTATTAATTATTATTTTTTATATATTTAAGCACTTCAAATACTCCATGAACAATATATACTCCATTCCATTGCAAAGTTGAGACTGCACAATTTGTGTATCTCCATGGAAGCACTGCATACATTGCTTTCAAATGCAAATGAGCAGTAGTCGAAGAGAGGAGACGACCATAAGCTTTCCATCGGAAAACAACTGTAGATATGCATGATTATAATTAATCATATAAAAATAAAACCATCACACATTGTCATGAACATTATGACTTCACTGTCCTCATCTGATGGAGTGGATTCCTTTGTTGGCAGAACAAAAATTATTGGATATTGTGTTATAAAGTATTCATGCATCATTACTCGGTCACTGTAGAGATCACCAATAAATGTGCTTATAAATACTTATTGTATTTCCTAAGAGTTACGGGAATATAAACAATATGAAACTTATGTATGAGTCTTACAATAAAGAATTATTAGCATGGGATTATTCTAGTCGCAAGATCTTCCATGAGGATAGTGTGTATAAGGTTCTCGATGAAATCGAGAAAGCTTACAAGGATAAACAAGCTTCTTAGATTGAAACGAGAATAGTGCCTATAAGACTCTGAATGAAATTGTGAAAGCTTACGAGGATAAACAAGCTTCTTATATTAAAATTAATATATATTTTTTTAAAGTCTTCATTTGAGTTTTCTTACACAGAAGTTGGTAAGATTAGACAATTGGCGTTCCAAAGGAGGATGGAGTTCTGTCCTTGCAACTTCTAAAAGTTAGTACAATATCTACAGCATTCAGATATCTATTTATTGATGTAGTTAAGTGTTGTTGAGCTTCATTCTAGGAAGAAACTAAACATGGATTAAATCCATGACACTCATGGTTTATGTCTTTCGATTGGGGAAGAGAAAATTGCCACAAGTCAGTAGGGGTTATCCATCATTATGGCCCAATGAATTGAGAGATCCAAGGACTAGTGATGGGGATGTTTATTGAAGGATTGTGGAAAGTGTAAAGACACAACTCCATGCTCTTTTGGATGGAACTGTTTGAAAGACAAATCCTCCAATTGCTCCTTCCAAGTTGAGATTCTCAAATCTTCTAGCTAGGCATTATGCATTCACAAATCTTAATTGTTGGACTCTAAGTAACACTTCCAATGTTATTATGCATTCCGCGAAACATAGCATGCAAACTCAAGATTTTAAATGGTTTTGTTGTTATAACGAGCAAGTTGGCTTAAATGGCTTAGCTTAAACTTGAAAATTGAGAGGAATTATTTATTAGATAAAGGATCAAACAAATAACTATCGTTTACGAAAGAAAATTTTGAGTCCAAATATATATATATAATAAAGTATAAAAAAATAAATACCTCTTCGAATACGTCAGCTATCTATCGACGTATCAAAAATATACGATGATAGTATATAGAAGAATCATGTATGGTGTAAAAGGCGTCGACAACTATTTAACGTTATCTTGACAAAATGTTGTAAAAAAGATCTTTATTTATCCTCATCTATCATAAAGAATAACAAAACTCATATAAAAATTAAAAGAAAGAAATAATAATAATAATAATTTTATTTTAAAGAGCTCACTTGCCTCTTGTAAACTTTCTTGACTTCACTGAAATCCCTGAGGACCGACCATCTCCTAACAATTCTTTGGGGTAGGGCTCATAGGTAGCTTTCATGTCTTCCATGTCGTTCATTCTCTCACCCAAACTAAATAACCAATCAATCTACCTCATGATAATTCTGACAACTTGCATTTGATACAAAATAAGTGGTGCATGAATCATTTATTAAAGCAAATATTATTCTCTCTTATAAAGTGAAATATCTAGTTATATTATGTTATCCTAATATCATTGGTTTTACTAATAAATACATGAAAATAAAGAGCAAAGAGATAATTTTAACGTTTTAGTTGGTGGTGTCTGATGGGGTCGATGGTGACGGACGATAGTACCACTGGAGGCTATAATGACTGTTGTGGATGATGAAGCAATGGTGAAATATGAGGGTCACTTTGCATCTGCGTCGACGCCAACATAATTGTCGACGGTCATTTCATCGCTCTACATTTACATTGGCAATCCTTTCATTGCTCGGTAACTACATCGACGCTAACGCAAATGTAGAACTACGAAAAGTACAGGATGACTGTTGTGGATGAAATAAAAATGATGGTGAGAGATAAGGATCATTCTGCATATGCGTCAATGTCGATGTAGTTGTCAAGCGACCTTTTTGTCGCTCTACATTTGCATCAGCATCAACATAGTTACCGAGCAGTGAAAGGCCACTCGATATCTACAACGATAGCCCTTTCGTTGCTCAGCAACTATGTTAATGCCGATGCAGAGCGAGCCGCTCAACAACTACGTCAACGTTAACGCGGATGCAGAGCGACTCTCAACTCTCATCGCCACTCTTCTCGTTCACAATAGCCACCCAACTGGCTTTTTTGTCGCTTTGCATCTACTTTAGTGTTAATTTCGCGACTCTACATCAGTGTCAACGTCGACGCAGATGCAAAGTAACCCTCATCTTTCATCACCGCTCTTCTCATCCACAATAATCACTTGTAACCCTCAACAACTTCGTCCTTCGTCACCACCAACTGAAGTGTTAAAATTATCCTTTTACCTTTTGTTTTTATGTTTTCATTGATAATATTATTGATTGAAAGTAGCTCCTTTTTTTTTTTTGTTATTCTAAATCCTGCCAACGCAAATTGAGGCCCAATTATGGTCAACCAACTCTTAAATTATCAACTATTAGGTCAACCCCTCCCAAGTCAACCCAAGTTTTTCTCTTTTTTTCATGCTAAATAAGGATTAGGTCATATCAATGATCCCTAGGGTATGATGAATGATAGTGAGAATAGTTTAGTGGGTTAACCAGATTCTGTATAGTTTGGCGATGACAATCATAATGACAACGACAATTGCTCCTTATGATCTCGTTATAAGTACATGTTACTGCCTTATGATCTCGTCAATTAATTCATTTAGTGGGGCTGAAAAGGAGGCAGCAATGTGCCACATGAACGATCATCTGGCTACGGTCTCAGTTCTTTATGTACTCATACTGTGAGACAGATCTAACAGAAGCTGCTCCTTGGTCACTAGATCGATCGGGTTAGAGTTTGATGCTGGCTAAGAAACAGCCGTCCTGATGCATGTAGATTCCAAGAGTTGACAGAACAGTGAGGGCAGCATTTAGCACACCCTACTTTACATGGTGCTTTAGAATTTAACCCAAAACAGTGACTACCAGTGTGGCATTTAAGATTTTGTCTTCTACCTGTACTAATCAAGTATGGCAATGAGAATGTGTTACATTGAAGAATGAATTATACAAGGATATTGAGGACACATATAATGTAGCCACTAGAGTTGTCTGCAGCTGTTAGATTGCATTCTCCAACCATGCTGGAAGTGTCAAAGAAGCCTTTAGTCCCAGCTTGGCAAGAAATATTGCATATAGAATGTGCAGCAAGAGAACAAAGAATCCACAGTTCAGGAGGAGCTGTTACAAGACAAGTGAGAGGATGAACATTAATGATGATTCCGTGCATGAACATCTCGAAAACTAGTTGTCGCTGCGGATACTAAGAGTTTTGGAACCTCACCAAGCTACCAAAGATTAAATATATGGCATTCATCGATGGGATTGTATTCACTCCCATAGCCGTGAGTATATATGTTAGAGAAGCATGAATGTTGATTGTGATCTGCAGAAGCACAGAAGTTAGCCTTTCTTTTTCGCTTTGAAAGTATCAAAGTTTTTAAACTAGAGACAGAGTCTCGTGTTTAGTAGTACCAGGGCAAGTATGTTTTCTCTAATTAAGAATGACGATAACAAGACATATCCAACAGCCCCCAGTGCACGAACCTGCCAATTGGCATCCAGTTTTAGACACGCTATCTGTTAAAAGTCATTGGATTTTCTACAGGAACATTGACCTAATAGAATAAAGTAGGTTTAGCAGGCCGTACAAGTGTGCAAAGAGCAATCGAAGTAACCCAATTAAAACGAAGTCTGCAAGAATATCAAAATAATATGATGCAGTTACACATGAAATAGAATGATGTTTTTGAGAGATTAAGTGTAGCAGAGGATATATCTACAAAATATTAAATAATATATTTGCATGGTGTCATACCTCCACAGAGTGCCGATAGCCAGACCAACTACTCCATGCATAAGCTGCAGGCAGAAAAGGATGTGCATAAATACTAAAACGAACAATTTTTGGATAGAATAAAGAAAAAACTGAATAAACACGAGAATGGATCCTCATGCTGCAGATGCAAAAGCCGATAGGTGTTTGTTTAGATGTGTTAACACTGTCATGAAATATTCCAATTTGATGATGCAAAAATTAATAGGTGTTCGTGTGCAAGTTAGTTCTTTAAATTGGAGCTGCATCTCTGACATAATTATTTAGTCCTTTTAACACTTTGACTAGACATTCTCATATTGAAACTCAATAAACAGGTGCTTCAAAAAACAGAAAAACAAAAAAGAAACTTATCAGCAATCCCTGGCAGGGAAGCCTTCGATTTCAATTGCCGCTTGTTCATATTCAATATAGTATCATATGAAAAAGCATATATATGACTCAAACTTAATATTCTTTTTTGCAATAAACAAAGTTAAGCCTCCATCGTCATTTCCAGTGTGCAGACCATTATCATACTTGGTTAGTTGCAGCTACATTATAGTTACTGATCCAGAATATAAATTGCATAAGAGGGTCCACAGAAGAACCTGTATTGTTAGTTCATTTTTATTCCACAATGAACACTAGCCTTAGGTCAACATAGTTAGCAACTTCCATCTTTTCCATATTCTACCATAGTAGACAGTCTAATTTACAGCTTTCACATCTATGGTCAACTGATCCTAAATCTAGAAATAGAAGACCAACACCAAGTCATGATTCATTCACTATTATGAGGAAGGAGCTCAATAGTGAAAAAGACAACTGAGAAGAACAACCCATCAGCAAATCTATGCAAAAGGTTCCAGAATTCTGTCCAATCAACTGATTATATTTGTGCTCAGATTCAACCAAAACAAGTCTAAAAAGAAAATATAGAAGAACGAAAGATTGTTAATGATATTCAAGTGCACAACAAATCTTGAACTGCCAAACTTATCAGAAGCAGACCGAGTTAAATCAAGGATGTAGGTTTCTTTCCGAGAGAGAGAGAAGAGAGACACATAGCACATCTTATTGATTTCACATAAGAAGAGCTAAAGAGAATGCAAAGATCCAAAAAAAATCCTTAAGAAGATATATTTGTTGGTTATTTCACACAGAAACAGCTACAGAAAGTAGCTTTATGGGTTAACTGAAACTATGCTGTAACACCTTGTTAGATCACCCTTTCTGAGAACTTTTTTGGATTCCATGATTATAATATAGCTTTAACTGAGCAGTACTTAAATAGTTTTCATTCCACAGTAAATGAGGGAATGCAATAGACTCAACAAGCCACTAATATACATGAAGATATAAGTCTTTAGTTAATAACATTATAGAGAGGACAAGATGGATTAAAGTTCACAAGTTTTAGAACTGAAGGAAAGGGAAAATGCAAGAACTTATTATAATATAAGAATCTAAAAAATAGTTACCATGTACGTAGATGCTTTAACTGGACCTGATAGAGTAAGCAATAGCATAGTTGTAGCCACCTGTTAAAAGAATAAAAGAAGGCTCTTAAATAAGAACTCAATACAAAAGCTACAATCATAACAAGTACTACATTACAGGTAAAGAGCCTAGAGACGTACCATGGTCTTTCTGCCGGCTGCCACTCCCCATCTCATTGAAGAGATCACTATAGGCAAGGAAAAGAAACAACTGAAGTAATTCTGCAGGAAACAATGTCTATAGAGTTAAATGTTTCCCCTGAACAGCTCAACTTCTAAAACTTTGTTTACACGTGAATTCGAGTGTGTTCATGTACATAAACAATCTTCTAATATCATGGTCAAAAGGTTAGAGGGCACCAATAGCAATAGAGTAAAGATGAAATTATGATATGACATGCAAAAGCTAAAGGAAAAGGCCTCCAGATTGTAATGCTTAAGCATATCAAATGTAGCAATGGTGGACTTTGAAGTTACAAGTAGCAGGAAATGAAGATGGCAAGCACCAAAATCAGCTTAATCTGGACCAAACAGAAATATTGTAACAGTAGAATACCAACCCACCAGCCAACCCCAAAACAAAAAAACCAAGATGCAAAGGCAGAAAATGTACAGAAGCAGGCATTAAAATGCTATAAAGATCTTTCAAATGGCAGGTGCATCCATCGGAGTATGTCACAATTCACTATTTCTCATTTTATTACTCAAAAATTTTGTGCATAAACTGGTAATACATGGTAGGACTCTTTTCACATATTTCAATGTAAAGTGGAAGACAAATATTGTCACTTCTGATCCTTTTTTCCCATAATATGACTTGTTTACATATAACTAACAAAGATAGCAACTTTCCCACCTAAATCAAAAGACACCGGAAAAGCTAAATTCAAGGAAAAGAATTACCATTGACAAACCAACGACGGTTCTATAACATCAAATCAAGCTGACCTCGATAGCAAGAGAGTTGCTCAAGAAGTAGGCGAGGCCAGCGACGGACGCGAACATGGCGCACTCCACCAGCCGCAGCGTCTTCTTGAACACTTGGCCCTCATCCCCCAGATCCTCGGAACCCAACAAAATCCCGCCCCCATCTCCCAGTTCTCGATGGGCGCACTCCTCAGCGTCGCCGACCGAAATCCTAGGGCGGAAACGGAGAACAGGAATCGCGAATTGGGAGAGGGAAAATGATTCATGGACCGTCCAGATATTCTTGAAAGGTTTGAGAGGGGAAAGAGGGACGCGATTACGGCAGAACTGGGGCGAGGGAGAGGAGGGTCGGTAGGGTTTGTAGGCCAGGGGAAGGGGAAGGGGAAGGCGGTGGCGACCCTGGCTTAAAAAAGCCATTTTTAAGCAAACAGAGTGTGAGGGAAGGGCCACTCGTTTCGCACCCAAACCACTTCTACTTCAACATGTGGGCTTCTCACTTAATTTCCTTTTTCTTTTTTCTTTTTTTAATAACCAAAAGTTAGTTTTAAAGACGGATCATAATTAATAATAATAATAATAATAATAATTTTGATAATATATCGTAAGATCCTAAATTCAAATCTTATTTTTATTACTTATCTTTAAAAAATAAAAATCATAATTAAAATTTGTTATGAGGCCTTTATTTTTTTTGCTTTGGATATTGCAAAAGACAGGCTATCAAGATTGTGATTCTTTTTTTTTTTCTCTCTATTCTTTTCCTTTCCAAAGAATTCTTTCCTCCTATACGGTGAAAATATACCATCTTGAGTTTTGTAAGACTTCTTTCGGGATTGTTCATAGGTTGGAATTCAGCAAGTTAAACCAACACCAAGATCATGAAGAGATCATCTGAACTCTGAGAACAAGTAGAAACTCTTTGTTGATCGACCATAGGTTGTCAGTTTCGATCTCATGCCGCTATTGTTCATCAAACGGACTTGATCTTTTGACACATGAATTCCTGCAAATAAAAAGTAAGAGATATATCAGTGTTGCTCCAGACCTCATACCATACTGTTATATGTGGAATGTTCTTATGTTGCAGCTTCAAGATTGGATCATACTGTTATGCAGTGTGATTGATCAATGATACTTGTTAGAAAGTTCATAATCCCGATAATACAGAATCCAACAGGAATCATTAAGCTGCATCAACCATCAACATTGGTCTTAGATGTGGTGTATCTGTGTAACTCAAACATCAACATAAATGCTGACAGGGAAATGGTAGCTGCAGAAGAATCCTTCCAAACAGAAAGAAAAAGGAAGAGAAAGAGAAAAGCAGCTATCAGCAGCCAAGGCAAGGAACCTGTTAACCCTAGAAAGCCATGCCAGGAACTATAATTGGGAACCGGATTCCTTGTACCTAACAAGTTGGGAACTCTTTTGCAAGGTGCTCTTTTTACATTGTATTGAACACAACAAACATAAAGCTTCATTAGAGAGATCTGCAGTATAAACTGTCATATAGCTTTGCATCTTCGATTCATACTGAAATTATGATAATTCCATAACAGAGAAAGGGTAAACAATAACCTGACCATTATATAAACAGAGAATGAATCTTCTAAGAATATCAGATGCCCCTCCAATATACTTACTTGATGTTGACTAATTGTTTACTTTTCGAGTGTTCCAGAATTGAAATTTTGTTCAGCAAAACATGGTTGCTACAGTACTGGCATGAAATTAGAATGAGTATGAGTTCAAACAGAAAAATGCCACTTGCAGAAAGCCAATGAGTCATCCATAGAAGTTAGCCTGATATAGGTGGGTGACATACACAGCATTACAAAATCATCTCCTAGCATAATTATCTTTGCAAATTTGTCGATTGAGCTAATAGAAAGTCTTAGCTTAAGTTATCTCGAGCAGCAGTAGATTTTTTGACTGCTGCATCTTAACCACAAGGCATGGTGCCAAAGGAAGAATCCCTTGGTAACTTATTGGGCGAGGACGAGAAAGTTGCAGATTGTGGAACTTAATTTTCTCGTTGATCTCAATGATTGAAAGAAATACAACCGCACCCTTCAAATTCAAATTCTACATGGCACCAAGTATAGAAAGAACCAAAAAATGAGATCTTCTTTCAGCATTTGAACTCCAAAATCTAGTGGTTTGTAGAAAACCCAAACAGCAAATCAAACAAAAGATTCAGCTGCTCTTTGTTCAAATATGACAGCTCGAGCTAAATCCTAAATTTTCACCAAAGGGTTCAGTTTGAAGCAAGAAAAGTTTTTTCATATGGAATATCTCACAAACTTATTCCAACACTAACAACAGAGTATAGTTTCTATAGAGTTCGAGTGAACTCCTTCATAACAAACACCAAATACCGAAAAGGCCATGATCTACTATCAACTGCTAGAGGAGCCAAGAATGAATAATTGTTCTCAATTATAAAGTATTCACGATTTAAAGCACTAATAACAATGTAAAAGAACAGGACCACCCGTATAATTAGTCAGGCTCTGTTCTACGTGTCGTTCTAAAGATAAATGAAGGATTATACCACAAGAATAATCATCAAGACTTATAAAAGTATGAAACAACAACAACAACATGCTGTAATGTCCCATCTCATAATAGTATACAGGAAGAGAAAGGGAAAACAAAGAGGAGACTTTTGCATCTAACTGTAGACATGGCAATAGCATGACGTTTTACCTATAAACACTACAATTAACTGTTTTCGTGTTTCAAACACCTATCACAATGTACCAGTTAACCAAAAAAATACATATTTAAAAAGTACTAAGGTGTGCCAGTGTCAAGGTTAAGTATAGCTAGCCAGGAAAGAACATGGAGATAAAAATAGGAGATGGTTTGATATCACTTGCTATCACCATGTTTAAATCCACATATCAGTTTCTGATTGTGTCTGTCTAACCTCAACTGACATATGGACTACATACTTTCAGTTGTATATGGGTGCTTCCCGGGCCTAATTAACGAAACTTAAGTGGGATTACACAAATGTCAGTATATCTCTGGAATATTGATTGCTTGCACGCACCATGTACATACAATCCATCAAGGATACTGTTCTGTCTTACCAAAAGTCACAGGCCAGCACAAGCTCAGCACAACTATGTTTGATGTCCTAGATGCATGGAATCCCAGTTTACGAAAGCAAACAGTTTCCAATTTTGTGACAAGAATTCAATCTAAAATAATGACTGTCAAGTAACCATTTCCAACCGTACATGTTATGCGCAGGTAAATAAGTTACAAGCATGTGATTAAGTTTTATATATATCAACATCAGCTAATGCAAAGATTTATGCACAATAAACCACCAACCATGGGCCTCTATGTTCATGAGCACCATTATATTTCAGCACGTATAGCACAGAAAGAAATATAAGATTATTATCTTATGCTCTTATATTAAAAGTGCAGTTACTGTATGCATTTCTCTATGCAAATATACATTTTGAAATTGCTGATTGCTCTATACAGAATTAGAGATAAACCTACAAGTGTCAAAACATAATGATATAGAGGTTTCCATTCCTTCAATCCCAATTGTCCGACAATTGACTTCCCTGTGTCCTTCAAAGATGCAGCAACTGTTTCACCAAAACATGAAAAGCAACAAATGATCTTACAACATAGGTGAAGTTACCCTCCAAAAAGATAATGCTTCCAATGGAGCTTTTTACCAAGCAACACCGCGAAACACAATCCTTATCATCTTTGTGTTGTGATCTATACATGAAAGAAGTACACTGAATAGTACATTGGTCGGTACCTATGGATCTTAAATTATTTCTTTAAAATAGTTACGTAGCTGGGCATTCAATTATCAAAATATGGACTACATCTCAAGCATCAGAATATGCTTCTCGGTCACATTAATTTGATCAACTTTACTTCATTTCCCCCATCCATTCCTCATATTTCGGAATGTATTCCGAAAAATTGGTATTGACAGACAAATCAAAACAGCCAGCTTCCATACTAAAAAGAAATTTCTGTTCTTCCCCTGCCTAGAACATGAAGGATAGATACCACCTGAGAAGATTCAACATGAACATTGAACTAACCACTTGCATCTACACACAAAAAGAACACTTTGAGCATTGGGGTTAGATTGAATGACAATTTAAATAGGAATTAAATCAAAGACAACTACGCAAAATGAAAGGCATAAAGAAGAGATGATGGACCGCATGCATTAGCATAACTCAAGCATTCTGCTAACTACATTCCAATCTAAACACCAATGACACTAAAAGATTTATAAGAAGACGCCTGCGAAACACCTACCACCGGATCTGCAAAATCAAGCACCAGACCGATGGCCTTCCCGAAAGATCACGCGTCAGCTAGGTCACACCAAACCAAGCGGTGACAGCTATCTGGTACCTTTCTCTACCTCAGTCATTAGTCAACCACGGCAAAGATTAAGAGAGAAAGAAAGGAAAGGAGAGGCTGGGGAATGGGTGGCTGCGGACGCCCGGATGCAGAGGTTTATCGACCGGTTCCCGCTTTGTAACCTCAAGAAGCAAGACAAAAACGGATCAAACCCCACCACCACGAAAGGAAGAGAGACCAACAAGGCCAGGAAGAGATCGATAAACCGCTGCATCCAGAGCTCATTCGATTCGGAAGCAAGGAGGAGGAGGAGGAGGATAGCATATCAGATCTGAGAGGAAAGAAGAGAAAGGGAATGCGATGATGATGACGACGGCGACGACGGAGGCGGGCGATACGATTTGATGGGGGAGGAGAGACGGACGGGATAAACGGGCGGGGGGAGATGATTGATAGATAACACATAAGGAGTACTTCCCTACCCGCACGATGTTAGATTAAAGGAGGCGGGACCCACAAAAGGGCCCCGCGCTCTGTCTGACCATAGGTTTCGGTGGGTAGCCTTCGAGGAGGTGGGATTCGGAAACCGGTGACAATGGTCCTTTTACCATCGGCGAGGAGTTCTAGATCCCGACAAGGGTCCCGTGAGCTCACGTGACGGATACGGATCACCTGTCTCGCCTGATACAAGAAACACAACATTCTCTCTTCCAGACCGTAGACTAGACCGACCCGAGGCATGAATACGGTGAATCCCGTGTCTCCCGTCGCAAATGAGACAGGGAAACCCCCCGAATTCATGGGACGACACGTGGTCGTCCGTCCCATCGACGTCGATTCGGTCAATCGGGGCCCCATGTCCGGACCAAATCAGAACCGGTGGTGACCCCAAGCTCGTCGCATCAAGATTCGGTCAGGCGCATGATACTGTCTTCATCATTTTTTTTAAAAAAATTAATATAAAACTAATTATTTTCATGTAAAATGAATTAGGCTTAAGTTAATTATACCATCAAGCATAATAAAAATTAATATAATATACTCACCAGATCCATATAAGTTAATCATACACATTGTTCACTTCTGATGTGGGATTAATGGATTAGAATTTTTTAAACATTTTTATATTTTTGGAGTCTAGATCGTATCGAGTTGATTGAACAGTACAAAACCCAACAACACCAAGCATATGGAATTCTTCGGTTCTCTTCCAACGTTCGAAATCGAGCGCACGTATCACATGACACCGATGTTAATTTCGCATGGATCACGAGTGCTATTCTTATAACAAGCACTATTTCTTGGTGCCCGTGCAAGGATCTCGATCCAAAAAAATAAAATACTATTATATTAGACTGTACATTAACTGGCGAGAAAATTATTGGGGAATACATGGAAGTCTTAATCATATACTTATAATACAAAGTCAAGGAGCTCTAATCTCATACAGCAAGACGAAAACATAAAATAATCTTTTGCATCACGTGATTCACGAGTGTCATTTCCTCTAGAGACTTCTCCCCGTTCATGTATCCTTCCCTACCTACTTTTGTTAGCGTTCTCGTTCCATTAATTTATTTTACGCAATTATTTTACTGAGAGAAGGCACCGTTTTGTCCTCTCATAATATCTATCTCACAGTGTTGATCTATAGTTCGTGAATCATACATGGAAAGTGACGACAAAAGAGGTCACTTTGATGCTTGTCTTGAGTGGCATCGACCAATCAAATTAGGAGACACGACATGTGACTTGGGACTCGATTCAAGTTGTCTGATTCAAGTGAATCATACACTTGTGGCTAATGGAGCAATGGTCGAATTTGATTGGTAGATGGATCAAACGGCCATAAAGTCACGTGAAAGAAGAATAAAAATAAAATTTGATTGGTTTAACATAAAATCATATGATAAATCTAAAATAAATATGAAAGATCAAATAGAATATGTTATCTAATAAAAAATAATCATTGATTTTATGCAAAACATGTCATTTTTTATGGATGACGAACAAAAGAAAATAAGTTGATCAAACAGACAACAATCTACAAAGACACTATGAAGTTTGAGTCAACTGAGCAGCCCTCATGCTTGCTCGTATGATCAATGAGAAGTATGTGATCATCTGAAGAGCGTCGTACGAATCTTGATGCGATGAACGGCTGGGATCTACCGGGAGTAGGAAGCCCGGAAACCAAGGCCTATATCTGCGCTGCCCAAATCCACTCTGCGCATCGGCCCCTCGCTCTCTCCCTCCCCCCGTCCTCCTCCGCCGGCGTCCGCAGCTGGATCGCAGAGTAACTAGGCCCAGCTGTGCAAATCTAGGCGGGCGGCAGCTGCGATGACCGTCAGGCTACTGTCCATTGCGGCCCAGGTCACGGCGGCGGCCGCGGCAGTCTCCGCCGCGATGCTGCTGGCCGGCGTCGGCGTGCTGGTGGTGATGCACGTGTGCACCGTGGGCAAGGCGTTCCGGAGGTGGTCCACGGCGACCTCGGCCCGGGATAGGCGCGGCGGCCCCAGCCGCGGCCTGTCGCCCGACCGGCTTAAGCGGCTGCCCTGCTACGCGTTCGGGGCGGGGCGGGACGGCACCCTTGACTGCGCCGTCTGCCTGGAGAGCTTCCGGGGAGGCGACAGGTGCAGGCTGCTGCCGGCCTGCGGCCACAGCTTCCATGCGGAGTGCGTGGATCCTTGGCTGCTCACGGCGCCGGTCTGCCCCATCTGCCGGAGGCGCGCCGACGGGCGAAGCCCCGGCACAGCCTCTCCCAACGGTCCAACACATCAAGCCCATGTAAGATTCGATGTAGATCCTGTCAGTTAGATTCTGTAAGCTTTGCAAATGGAGCGCCGGCCAACTGCTGGCTCAGCACAAACGTAGTTGTAAGTACTGTTCTCTTAGCCTATCACTGCCTCTTCCTACCGAGCTTTAAACCACACATGATCATCATCATCAGCTGTTACCTCCCAGAAGAAGAAGATGAACAACAACCATTCTTTTGGGAGGTGTTGAAGGATGATGTCAAACAAGAGGACAGTGATTTGTATTGAATCTTTTTGCGTCCAATTAAACCTTTTCTTCCTTGAAGAAATCAGCTTTGGACTATAAATGAGTACAGGCAATACATTCCGAAAGTAGATTACTCCTCTGATGTCTCTGTCTCAAGAAACTTTTAGAACTATTTTTGTTAGCCTTCAACACCCACATCTCTCTCTCTCTCTCTCTCTCTCTCTCTCTCTCTC